CGAATAGTTGGACAAATAAACAAACGGAAGAATGGATGGATGAATGAATGGATGGATGGATAGATGGATGGATGGATGGTTGGATAGACAGAAGAAAGGATGAAAAGCGGCTTAATGTACTTTCGTGCTGTCGAAATGAATTCCAGAAACTCCGTTCGTGATGTCTTTACTTCTAACTGGTACCTCTTTCATTTGTCTCCACCCTAAACATGTCGACTACCAATCAGACGTGGAGAGAAGACGGACTAGAAATGCGTGGCCAAAGAGGAGGACAACAGAAGGTAAAAGCCAGTGTATGTACAGAAAGACGCTAGCGTGTCGTCAAGCGGAATGAGAAGAGGGAATGCAAGTCTGTTGAGGCTTGGAGGGCAGCATGTGAAGGACACACATTTGAGGCAGGAATTGTGTACAAAAGGTGGAAGTTGTGATGGCTACGGTTGCGTGGCGAAGCTCCCGGAGAAGGATCCGTGTCGGGATGGGAGGAAGAGGAGAGAGAGAGAGGCAGCGGAGTACAACTCCGGCATAAAATTAGCTCGACTCACCGGGATAGAATTCGTACAGTTTAGACATCTTCACTTTGGTGCCCGTCTCGCGCTGGATGGTGGCAATCGCCTCGCCACCCTTACCGATCACGCCGCCGGCGGCGTTCGAAGGAATGAGGATCTTCAGCTGGACGGCGGAAATGTCCTCTTCGGACAATGAATCGACTGGAAAAGAGGCGAAAGGACGAGTCCGGTGGATGCAAGATGGAAGGTGACAGACAAAAACACGTGGTATGGGTTATTTTAGTTCGGCAGGGAGTATCAAGTGGTAGACTAGACTATAAGAAATATTCAGCTTTCAATCAATATTTATTAAAAATAAGTATTGCACAATAGTACACAGTACCATACAATATGCTATAAATGCATATATAAAGCATATCTATAGTATATCACATTGCACGATATATTACAACGGTAAAAATTAATAAATTACGGCATAACATAAGCTATATATATATATATATATATATAATTACTACACCAATTTTTTTTCAAATTAAAAGTCAAATCAAATTATATAATCCGGTATTGAGTAGTATTGAGTAGTACTATCAGTAAATCAGATATATGAGTTGTGTTCACCCTATTTCGTGTAAGGTGATGAAGGAGTGTTAGCTGAATTTTCCCATGTTTCTATTGGAGTACATATAGCTTTGCTTTTCCAAAATTTTGACTCAAGTCAAAAGAACGTCTTTTGGGAAAGTAGGGCCATGTGGCATTCAATAGAAACGTCATCATTGTTGGAAAACTCAACTATCAGGCCTTCATCCTCTCACACAAATAGAGTGAACTCAACGCAAATTGTATTAGAAGGAGAGTCTTAGAAACGCATTCGAACTTGAAAAACTGCAAGCAAAGGCCTGTGCTATGTGAGACCATTTGTCTTCCGGTAGTGATCCGAGCTCCACTTCTCAAGTAGGGAGACTAGTTGTGCGAACGAGCTGACTGTCCTTTTTCGCTGGCGTTCGAGTAAATGAGGCATTGGAGCCGAGTCTGAGAGACATCATGACACTGGAAGACGAGCAGAGCCCAAAAGATGGGCTCAGCACGGAGAAAAGACACTTCTGATTTTTTATGCGAATGTGTTTCAAAGCTATCCACAACACTTGAACAATAACTGAAGTCATCCGAGTTCATTTGAGGTGGTTTACGGACTAATGGGGCAACTTTTCCATAATAATATGAGTAAGCTTCAAGATTCCATCTCCTTTTTCCAGTGACCAAGATTCTAAAATGAGATGTATTCACCCACTTTCGTTTAAGGTGATGAAGGACTGGTAGAAGAAGAATTTTCTCACAATCATATTAGTTGAGCTGACGTTTCCATTCAATTTCGCATAGCTTTACTTTCCCAAAGGTTGTTCTCATCCTTAAACGAAATTGTGTGAATACATCTCATATTAAGAATTTAGTTTATTTTTCGAATTAATTATTGTTTTCGAGACTAGCAGTAAATCAGTAGTATGAGATGTATTTATGAGCTGACGCTTCCATATCATTGTGGGAAAATTCTTCTTTTACCAGTCCTTCATCACCTTAAACAAAATTGTGTCAATACATCTCATATTGAGAAATTACTTTATTTTTTGAATTACGTCTTGCTTTCGAGACTATCAGTAAATCAGTAGTATGAGATGTATTCACCCAATTTCGTCTAAGGTGATGAAGGACTGGTAGTAGAAGAAGAATTTTCCCACAATGATATGAGTTGAGCTGACCTTTCCATTCAATTTCACATAGCCTTGCTTTCCCAAAAGTTATTCTCATCCTTAAACGAAATTGGGTGAATACATCTCATACTACTGATTTACTGGTAGTCACGAAAACAATACTTAATGAAAAATATGTGAAATTGAATGGAAACGTCAGCTCAAATCATATCATTGAGGGAA